TTGCCCTGATAGATTTTTCTCTGAACGCCAAACACGACCTGACATACCATGTTTTATTTATTATCTTGCTTATTTCTCTGCACTAGAATATAAATCCCACGAGGGCAGAACTTCCTGTTCACTATATATTCCTAGCTCCTAGAACGGTACCTAGGATAAAGCAGAAGCTCAATGAATTGCTGTTGAATAAATGAATGAATGAATGAATGAATGCACTACCCAAGGACATGCATCTTCTCTAAGTGATGAAGGCAAGACGAAATGGGCATCCAGATTCTACGAGAAATCCACACCCTTCATCCATAACTACTTTTATTGCAATGAAATGCCAATTTCTAGCTGGGCATAGGGTCAATATAGCATAGCCTTCCCTGCCGCTAGATACACCCATGGAATTAAGTTCTGGCCGATGAGATGTAAGCACAAGAGGCCTCATAGAGAGGGTATAGTCCCTGGGACAATGAAGTGACCTTGGGAATGGAGAATAAAGTGACAAAGTAAGAGGTCTGGGTGCCCAGTGCTGTCACGTTTTAGAACCACTGTGTTCAACTACCTCTGGACTTTTGCATGTTAGAGGAATCTATACGTAGCTTCTGGCGATCTCACAAGCTATCTCATTTAAGCTATTATTAATTGGGGTTCCCTGTCATTGGCCACCAACTTTAATCCCAATTCATTGGATGAGCCTCAGTTTCCTCATCTGTAACGTAGGACTAATAGCAGCACCTCCATAGATTTGTTGCAACGATTAAATAGGAAAATACATGGCAATCACCAGGATGGAGTTTGGAGAAATGCTTAATGCAGGGGATGCTTGTTAGACAGAGCAGAAGCCCAATTCTATACCACCTAATGGCTGTTAAATATGAGAAATGCAAGCTTCAGATGCCTCATAATATCCCACCTTTGAGAATGGGAGCTAGAGCTTCTAGGTCGTTGGGCAAGTCATGAAGTCTTTTTCTGTTTCTCTATGTCAAAATGCATCATGACTTTCCCGATGGCCCAGGACTTTGGGCCATTAGAGAAACTGAGGCCCCAGCTTTGCAAACATCACCGGGTCCTTCAGGGGCAGAGCCAAGGCTTGTCTCTGACTGTGGGGATGGAAGGGACAGTGGAGCCCTCGCCCCTGAAGCAGTGCCTCTGCTCTGACTGAACGTTAGTCAGCCACAGGGACTGGAGACCAAGGCTGTCACGCTTTCCCTGATAGATTTTTCTCTGAACGCCAAACACGACCTGACATACCATGTTTTATTTATTATCTTGCTTATTTCTCTGCACTAGAATATAAATCCCACGAGGGCAGAACTTCCTGTTCACTATATATTCCTAGCTCCTAGAACGGTACCTAGGATAAAGCAGAAGCTCAATGAATTGCTGTTGAATAAATGAATGAATGAATGAATGAATGCACTACCCAAGGACATGCATCTTCTCTAAGTGATGAAGGCAAGACGAAATGGGCATCCAGATTCTACGAGAAATCCACACCCTTCATCCATAACTACTTTTATTGCAATGAAATGCCAATTTCTAGCTGGGCATAGGGTCAATATAGCATAGCCTTCCCTGCCGCTAGATACACCCATGGAATTAAGTTCTGGCCGATGAGATGTAAGCACAAGAGGCCTCATAGAGAGGGTATAGTCCCTGGGACAATGAAGTGACCTTGGGAATGGAGAATAAAGTGACAAAGTAAGAGGTCTGGGTGCCCAGTGCTGTCACGTTTTAGAACCACTGTGTTCAACTACCTCTGGACTTTTGCATGTTAGAGGAATCTATACGTAGCTTCTGGCGATCTCACAAGCTATCTCATTTAAGCTATTATTAATTGGGGTTCCCTGTCATTGGCCACCAACTTTAATCCCAATTCATTGGATGAGCCTCAGTTTCCTCATCTGTAACGTAGGACTAATAGCAGCACCTCCATAGATTTGTTGCAACGATTAAATAGGAAAATACATGGCAATCACCAGGATGGAGTTTGGAGAAATGCTTAATGCAGGGGATGCTTGTTAGACAGAGCAGAAGCCCAATTCTATACCACCTAATGGCTGTTAAATATGAGAAATGCAAGCTTCAGATGCCTCATAATATCCCACCTTTGAGAATGGGAGCTAGAGCTTCTAGGTCGTTGGGCAAGTCATGAAGTCTTTTTCTGTTTCTCTATGTCAAAATGCATCATGACTTTCCCGATGGCCCAGGACTTTGGGCCATTAGAGAAACTGAGGCCCCAGCTTTGCAAACATCACCGGGTCCTTCAGGGGCAGAGCCAAGGCTTGTCTCTGACTGTGGGGATGGAAGGGACAGTGGAGCCCTCGCCCCTGAAGCAGTGCCTCTGCTCTGACTGAACGTTAGTCAGCCACAGGGACTGGAGACCAAGGCTGTCACGCACAGTGCTATCTGATCCCACGGGGCAGGGCTCACGGCCGAGAAGAGGGTGAAGGGTGGTGGGCAGCCGCAGTGACACCGCACTGCTGGTGAGAAGCTCTGCAGCTCTCCTGGAGACCCTGCAGTGTCCCCAGGCACCCTGCTGGCCTGGCTCCCGCATGCAGAGACTG